ACAAACCTCATGGTAATATATAAAATAATAGAAATGGTTTAATTTAAAATGTAAGAGCTTGCTAAGAATATGATATAATAATTGACCAAGTAGTGATTTAATTAACACAGTTTCTATGCGATTATTTCAGAAGTCTGGGTGGTTAGGAAATGAACAAGCAGCCTCCTACAACAAATTGGCATACCAACATGGTCAACTATATACATATAAAACCTCGAAAATCTTAGAAAGAAGTCCTAGACACACACACACACACACACACACACACACATACACACACACAAAGAACAGAGTTTCATGCAACTTCTTGTTCTGTTTGCTAAAAGCAAGCAGAGGCATGATTCCTTTAAGAGAGGTCTTCCTGATTCAGCAGTAGCAAAAAATACCCCTTCAGTTTCTAAACAGCAGCTTCCTGGTTCACCAGCACAAATGGCTCTGACTCTTTCAGGAGGTCCAGCTATGAAGCATTTTAATGGTGTCTGTGAGCAGAGTGCTACAACTTGCTTAATGGTAACATAGACCTGCTGTGTGCCTAAAAATGGGGCTGTGAGCATGGCTCTCAGAGGCAGCAAACATGTATCCATCATGTTGGACTGGGCAGAGCAAGCAGGCATGGCCATATTTGCCCTAGCCATGCCCACTTAGCATTTTAAGAAATAGTTCTGGTCAGAAAATAATTACAGATACACAATAAAGACAGATTCAGATGAAAAAGACCTCTAAATGGGTCACATTGTGTTTCAAAAATGTACGTAGGCTTGAGAGAAAGAAGAAAAAGAATATAGAGAGTTATAAAAAAGTAAATTATTTAAAAAACAAAGTCTTTAAAGAGACAGAGTAAACTTGTTGAAAAAGTAATAGAATAAGAAAGATGAGCCAAGTAAAGATGTCCACACAGAAAGTCTGGATTATGTATATTATTGTGTTTTCCTTATATTTTTTGGCTGTGAAGCAGCTATGTAGAGAGAGACATTTCATTGTATGCACTGCTAAGCTAAGCCAACATATATATTTTAAAAGTATCCTGACTTGAGAATTTGGGTCTAAAGATTTGTTACTTTGGAAAAGAGGTTCTGCTTTTGTTTTCACAGAAGATGAGAACCTGTGGATCAATTCGAGACTAATGTTGTTTGATGGATCAAAAGCCCCTGAAAGGTTGCCATAAGCACCCCCAAAATACTTTGACCAACAAAAAGCAGAAAGCAGTTTGGAGAGATCTATGCCCAAAATCCAAAATATTGTTTATAAATGTTTGTTTACATTTAAAGAGGGATATGCTGTAGATATGAATAATTTGCTTTGGTATGGATCTTGATCTATTGATAAAAATTTAAGGTCTATTTTGTTATATTTGCTCTTGATTAAGGTATTGTGTTTGTGCAGCTCATTTTAAGATGTAATGTATAATTAAGAAACATAGGTTCATAGAGAGTCATCTATTATAATCAAGTTTATAAACATGTTAGCTAGGTTTTCTAGATGTAGAGAGATATACTTCAGATAGACAGGCATTCTTCAACCACTTCAAAGAGCTATAGAATATGGCATTTAAAATGTTTTAATAACTTAGACTTTTCATGACAATGAGACACGTCTGCTTCTGGCAGCACTAATTACTTCAAGAGGCTGATGGGCATCAAAGAAGCTCCTTATAGAGTTGGTTAGCCGTTTGGGCAAAAAACTGCTCTTGCCTGGACTGATTGATGTTATGCTGTATTAACTGGGCATGCAGGACCCACAGATAAATAACTGCTGAACTTGCCTACAGGTGAGATTGTCTTTCGGGGTTACTGCTTCATAAAAGAGTCTACAAGACATTTCGCAGAACACAGAAGAAAGTGACTGACAAGCTGCCAATATAGACAGAACTGTCTTTGAAATTTCCTGCTTCATGGAAAAGTCTGCTGGATACTATGGGCCTGTAGGCTAAAGATTGGATGCCCCAATAATACAGAAGAATTTGTGTGACTGTCCAGGCAGCAAGATGTCTCTGTCAATTCTAGAGTTTTGGAAGTGGCTTACAATGCACTTCCTATTATCCTTTTGTTGCCTTTGATGGAGTTGAAGAATAAATAGTTATAATTATAGCTTTCCTTGGTTATTATAAAAGATAAAGTAGATACAAATATTGTAACTGTAATTCTCGCTTGATACCTGTTTTGTAGATGTAATTTTACTATGTTAAAATTAAAAGCTTCCATTTTATTTAAACAAAAAGAATGGGTGATGTGGAATTCCCCTCTTGTGGTGTGAACAGCATTGGTTAATAAAAAAAAAAAAAACTATTTTGGGCCTGTACAGGGCAGAATAGAGGTTGGTGGGGAAAACTAAACTTAATGCTGGGAGAAAGAAGGCAGAGACAGGAGACACCATGTAGACGCAAGAGGGGAAAGACACAAGCTGCTAGCTGGAACCTTGATGGTAGGCCATGAGCCTCATGGTAAAATATAAAATAATAGAAATGGGTTAATTTAATATGTAAGAGCTTGCTAGGAATATGCTGTAGTGATTGGCCAAGCAGTGATTTAATTAATACAGTTTTTGTGTGATTGAGAGTCTGAGCAGCTGGGAAATGAACAAGCAGCCTCCTACAACATTAATGTCAGAGTAAAGTCCTCCTTCTTCTTGTGAAAGAACTCTTAAATATCCTTAAGGTAGAGAAAGAGACTTCACATCCCAGCTACTCAACTGAGTTACATATTCAAGTATTAGTTGGGCCACAAAGTAAGTTCAAAGTCAGCCTGAAAATCTTAGTGAGATCGTGTCTCAAAACCAAAAATAAAATGGGTTTAGTTCAGAGCCTAGCCCAGTTGTTTACTTCCTCTGGCAGATGAAAGGAGCAAATATAGAGACCCACAGTCAATCACTAGGTGGAGCTCAGAGAACCCCCAATGAGAAGAAGGATTTCAGGAGTCTGAAGGGTTGAGGACACCAAGAGAATATGGCGCACAGAATCAACTAAACAGGGTTCATAGGGCCTCACAAAGACTGAAGCAAAAGTCTCAGAACCTGCATGGGTCTGCCTAGGTCCTCTGTATATACATTAGAGTTGCTTATCTTGGGGTTTTTGTGAAACTCCTAACAGTAGGAGCTGATGTGCCTCTGACTCTTTTGCCTGCCCTTAGAACTCTTCACTCCTACTAGGTTGTCTTGTCGAGCCTTGATATGAGGGTTTGCTCCTAGTCGTATTGCATCATGTCATGCCATATTTGGTTGATATTACTGTGAGAACTGCTCTTTTCTAAAGGGACACAGCAGAGGATCTGGGGAAGACTGGGTAAGGGGGGGAAATGGGAGCGATGGAGGGAGGAAACTTCTGTCAGGATATACTGTATGAGAGGCCCATAAAATAAATGGAAAAAACTGAGAAAAAGTAAAATGAGGGCTGGGATGTATGGGAGAAAGGTTCAAAAGGTCTTAGCTGAGGGACTATTGAAAGTTGGTGGTTTCTGGGGAACAAAGAGTCAATTTTCTCTAAGGGTGTGACCAGGGTCCAGTAGATAGCCCCATTGCCTTGAGTATATGAATAGCATAAACTATATTCACTGGATTATTGTTTGTAAAAAGGAGACACAAAGCAGAGGGGGAGAGGGAATTGGTGTAGTGTTACAGGCAAGAATGGGTATGGATATGATCAAAATATACTGCATGCACCTATAAAATTATCAAAAAGATATTTTAAATATATGTAATAGCAAAAATATATTCCTCATTATGCCCATGGATAAATGCATTCCGCACCCCTCATCTGAGAAGCTTTTATTTGCAGTTGATGGAGATTAACACAGAGACACATGACTGACCAAGGGGTAGAGACTAAGTTTGCAGAATGCTCAACCTTAAAGGGAGCATACACGCCATACATCTCCTCCTCCCAAGACTCAGAAGTCATTTAGGAAGAAGTGGTGGAAAAATCACAAAAGCCAGAAGCAGTAGATGACTTTGGGGGACTACAGGGTGTCCTGATCACAGAGGGCAGCTGCACATGTTAACTCATAGCATGCACAAGACCTGTGTATAACCAAGCCAGACAAAATCCCAGAACTGAAAGGAAATTTAGGCAAATTCTCCCTGTTTTAGCCTTGGAGCTAATGGGAATTCCTGGATGCTGGAAGAGGGAGACTCAGTTTTCTTTAAGAGTGTAGCCCCTGGAATCAGGAGTAGTGGAACACACCTTTAGCATTTGAGAGGCAGAGGCAGGTGATCTCTGTGAGTTCCTAATTTAGGCTAGTCTCCATAGTGAGTTCTAGAACAGCCAGAGCTACACAGTAAGAGAGTGTCTCTTTAAAAAACTGAAGAAGTGCAGAAGTGCAATCTCTAAAAAGTCAACCATGCTCCAGTGCTAGACCATGAATTCGAGAATATTCGGGCAGCACAGATTGGTAGTAAAGGTTTTTAGAAAAAGAGGGACACAAAGTTAAGTGGGTAGGGAAGAGGGGTCGATCTTGGAAGAGTTCAGTATGAGTCAAGTAAGGAACTCTCAAAGAACTAATAAAAGTTTCTTAAAAATAAAAGAATTTCTGAACAAGGGTACTCAACAGCATGCAACATCTGTGATCTTAAAAAATAAAAAGAGTATTTGGATTTAGGAAATACGATTCTGTGGTATTGTGTTTACCTAACGTATTGGACTCTAAGCTCAACCTCCAACACTGGGGAAAAATGTTCTCAGGTCACCTTCCCTTCCAAAAAAGCCCTTACTCACTCCTTTTAAAGCTGAACTGGGCCACATGCCCCATCTCTGTTTCTAGCAATAAGTCTGCAGTGAAAACCCCAAGTAGGGGTCGGAGTGGAGAGAGGCTCCTTCCAGGGGACTCCAGAATGTGCTTAGCTGGTTTCAAGCCTGAGTGGGAAATAGACTCCATTCCCCAAATCACCTACCCCATCCCTCCTGTTGTTCCGGGACTCACCGAGGGCCAGCACCATGGCAGAATGAAGTGACATAACTCAAGCTTCAGCAGTCTGATGCGGTCTGGAGCTGAAACCCCGCAGTGGACACAAGAAGCAGGATGTGTGGGCTGGGGCTCATTACAAGATTTCTCTATTAGTTTCCTCACATGAAGAGGAAGAGGTTTGTCCTCTGGGCTTTCCACGCTTTCCTTCAGTCACTGACTCTTTGAGAAGGGTTCAGATTCTAAAAAATACAACAGGCCTCTGAGTTCAGGTGCAATCGAATTCATTCTTCAACATGTTCGTCTTGCCATAAATATGTGAGACACAGGAGAATAAGATTTACACATCAGTCCTTATTGTAGAAATGAATGACCCTTGATCTTTGGGATAGGCATTTCAACACCCAAAGCTCACATTTCCTAATGTTTAAAATGAAAATCATAAAGCCTTCCCTGAATGTTTGTTGTTATGGTATTTGGAAGAGCCTAAACAGATACTTGAAGTGTTAAATATGCCCTGCTACAGATAATGGCCTTTCATATTAAATAATATTGGTGTGTGTGTGTGTGTGTTTCACAGTGTGTGTAGCAGACAGAGGACAACTTGGCAAAGTTGGTTCTTTCATATAGGTCCTGGGGATGAAACTTGAGTTTTCAGGTTTGGGAGCAAGCATTTTTATCCCCTGGGCAATCTCATTGACCCAGATGATTTTTTTAAGATTTATTTTTATTTTATGTGCATTGGTGTCTCACCTGTCTATGTATCTGTGTGAGGGTGCTGCTTCCTCTGGAATTGGAGTTGCAAACAGTTGTGAGTTGTTAGGTGGATGTTAGGAATTGAACCTGGGTCCTCTGGAAGAGTAACTAGTGCTTTTAACCACTAAATCATCTTTCCAGCCTCAGATGATATTTTTTAAAGATAATAGATATTGCCATGAGTAGAGAAATTGGATCTTTTTCATGCTCTTAACAGGAACCAAGGGCCCCAACTGTTATTAGAAAAGCTGCCTCTTAGAGAATGAGTCACAATCATTTTCAGGGACCTTAGGCCCTCCTTCCATGCCACTGATGGGAAAATGTGTAAATCAGAGGGGAAAAAGCTCTTCCTCTGTTGAAATAGCATGAAGATTTCACAAAATAAGAAATTAAAAATAGAACCCAAGTAAGGGGATGAAAGAAGTATGGAAGTGAGCTGTCAGCACTTATGGAATCATTGCAACACTATTCACAAGAGCTTTGATGGGGAAATTGTCCAAAGAATGGCTGGGCCTGACCCAGTAAACAACCCCAGAAGGGAAGGCACTGAATTGTTCCTCTCACATGAGGCATGTTAAGTAGTCATATTCAAGCTGCACATTCCGATCCATGCCTGAAATTTGTGCACTTGGGAGGATGAACAGAAGATCACTATGAGTGCAAGGCCAATCTTCACTACTTAGTGAGTTCTAAACCAGTCTGAACTATATAGCAAGAGTCTGTCTCAAAACCCTTGAAGTAGTTAAAGAAGTCAAATTCATAAAAGCAATGTTTAGAATGCTGTCTACCAGAAGGAAAAAAGTGGGGAAGTTATTTATCAATAGACAAAAATGTTAGTCAATCAGTAAGAATAAGTCTAAGACAACATAATACCATAGTCAATAAAACAGAACTGCACAGTTAAAATGTTAAAAGAACAGGTTTTATCCTTTTCTCTGTTTTAGCTAGGTTTTCTTTTGCTATGATAAAATATGAGCAAAAGTTATGTGGCGAGAAAAGGGTTTATTTCATCTTAGACTTCCACGTAACACTATCACTGAAGGAAGTCAGGGCAGGAACTCAAGACAGGAGCCTGGAGGCAGGAACTGAAACAGAGCCTATGGAGGAATACCTCTTACTGGCTTGCTTTTATGGTTTACCCAGTCTTCTTTCTTTTACAACCCAGAACTATCATTCTCACAGTGGGCTACTGCCATCCACATCCATCAATAATCAAGAAAATGACTCAGAGCTTTACCCACAGGCCAATCTGATGCGTGCATTTTCTTAATTGTGTTTTTTTTCTTTCCAAACTACTGTGGCTTGTATCAAGTTGACAAAACACTAGCCAGCTCCCTATCCCTCTCACTTTCCCCTCTCTCTCTTTTGTTCCCTCTCAGTTTCTGTCTCCTCCCTCTTCCTTTTTTCTCCTTCTCCCTTTACCTGTCCCCTCCTCTCTTTCTCTCTCCCTCTATACCTGTCCCCTCCTTCTCCCTCTCTATTCACCCATCCCTCTCTCCCTCCCTCTCTATATTCATGCAGTACCATTAAAACTGGAAAGGGGAACTCAGCCTGCTTACAGGCTGAGGGTCTGGGGTCACAGTGGTGAGTGCAATGACTGCAGGGATTTCTCTGTTCCTCTGAGCCAGCACCTGCCAAGCCTGCCCTTTTGTCTGCAAGGTCCTTGGCCAGCAAGTGGCCCTGATCCAGTACTAGGAGATCCATCTGGAGGGGTAAGTGTGTGCCCGCCCGTCTGGCTGGACACCCTGGGATCCGAGTACAGGCACCCTCCAATCCCCTAAACTTTCTGGCCATTCAGCAGGGCTTCTCCCTGACTTTCTCTACTTATTCCATCACAGCTTGCCCCCAAGCACTCCTTTCCATCTGTGGGCTCTTTAGATCCACCACCACAGCCTACTTCAGGGAGGAGGGGATCTGAGAGCCAACTCCAGTGCTAACGGGACCTAAAAGAGGGAAGAACAAGAAAAAAACCCAACTACACAGTTAGCCACAGCAAAGATGGGACCAAACCATCAAGACTCTCCTGACCATCGGCAGGTGCCGATGCAAGAATTCCTCCAACAACCTAAAAAGCAATGTGATAACACCAGAATTCAGTGATCATGCAACAGGAAGACTTGAACACCCTAATTCAGAAGAAGTAGAAGAAATTGACTTTAAATGTAACATTATGAAAGTGATAGATAACATTAAACAGGACGTGAAAAACTCCTTTAAAGAAATGGATGAGGGCTCACCCCCAAGCTGAGTTAACTGGGTGTCACTGCGGTCCATGTCCCCACGTGGGGCTGAATCGCTGAAGTGGCTACGTTGCGGAGCAAGGGCCACACATGGCCTGGGAGTGCCCTGCCCAACTGCTCTTACCTGCAAAGCCAGACTTAATATGCCAAGTACAGGATGCCAAGCCCACAGCTGCCCAAGGAGGACATCATCAGCCTGGCCTCCCAGTCTGCACTGAGCAGATACCTCTGATCCCTGGGCCAAGCAGAAGGCAACTGTGGACAGCCTGAAGGGCTGGCTGACTCAGAGACCACCAGCCTTGCTTCCAGCTCGCCAGCAAGATGTGGACAGCCTTGGTGCTGGTTTGGATTTCCTCCATGCCCTTATCTAGAAGCCATAGAGTGACTGAGGAGCTGCGACACTTAGTAGCGACCAAGGTGCAGCCTAAAGCCGTGAAGCAAACCGTGACTAGGGACACAGGTCCGAGAACAGCCACAGTGCCGCCTGCTCCTGTCACGCCGACCACGGGGACCTGGGCCGCTAGCCCGAACTCGACCAGAGTGACAGCGGAGATGACAACGCACTGGACAAACACGAGCACTCCGACCACCAGAGAAGGCACGACGGGCAGCGTGACCTCCAGTTCCCTTACACCACCCCCATCATCAGGGCCCGCGACTGTGGGGCCATCTCCACCCACCACCACTGCCGGACTTCCCTCTCACAGCACACCACATGCAGAAGTGCCAAGTACAGATGCCAGCACATCACCAAGAACAGCCACAGTGGCAACAGTGGCCCCACATCCCACCACTGTTGCTGCAGGCACCATAAACACAAGTAGTCCCACAAGGACTCCGAGTCCTGCCGAAAGCACACCTACTAACACATCCACCACGAGCCCCATCCCCACTTCAGGTGCCCAAACCCAAGGTACCACCATCCAGGTGACAACAGAACAGCCCGTGCATAGCACAGCTGGCAGCTCAACACCACCCGCTCTGTGGCTTCAACGTCCTCGGCAGTAGTGACCACCACTCAGATACAAATCAAGGAGCCAACTGCCAGCACAATGCCAGTGCCTCCTACCAGCCCGACCCCAGAAGTGGAAGCCACAACCCTCACCACGCAGCCAAGCCCTGCATTATCTACCCAGGGGATAGGTGGGCCAGGCACACTCCTGACAACAGAGCGGGTGGAGACCAAAGCCACAGCTGGTACTGCCTCTGCTGGGCCAGCACCCAGGAGCTCCGGGGACCCTAAGGTGCCAACCACAGACTCGAGTCAGCTCAGCACCCAAGGCCAGTACCTAGTGATCACCCCCGAGCCCCGAGCCCCATCCTTAGTGAACAAAATGTTGCTTCTGGTGGTGCTCGTTTTTGGGGTGACCCTGTTCATCGCAGTCCTAGCGATGTTTGCCCCGCAAGCCTACAAGAGCTGCAAGAAGAAGGACTACACGCAGGTGGACTACCTGATCAATGGCATGTATGCTGACTCGGAGATGTGTGCCCAGAAGGCCGGCCTCCTCCGTGGCCTTCTGTTTTGTCTCAGACCAAACCAAGTGCTTCCAGATCCTTTTGGTGCAATTTCGGAACTGTGCCAGATGCGTAGACACACGTAGCTGCTATCAGACCACTCCAGGAACAGGAGAGAGCTGCCTTTTCATAGTTATTTTTTTAAACGATCACATATGCAAGCGTGACCGCTGTCAAGGGGGCCTGGCCCGTTTGGATGTGAGATCTTGACCAGAATTAAAAGCAGTGGCTGCTCTTAAAAAAAAAATGGATGAGAAGACTAACATAAAGGTAGAAGAAGAAATGAATAAATCCCTCAAATATACTCAAGAAAACCAAGAAAAAGCAATCAAACAGGTAATGGAAACAGTTCAAGACTTGAAAACTGAAATGGAGGCAATGAAGAAAACACAAACCGAGGGATGGCTAGATATGGAAAATCTGGGTAAACAAACAGGAACTACAGAGACAAGTATAACCGACAAAATACAAGAGATAGAAGAGAGAATCTTGGGTGCTGAAGATACTGTAGAGGAAATAAAACTGGAGGGGGGACAGAATAACATAAAATCCTAAAGGGACTGAATAGATAAGAGACAGACCTAGGGTTTGAGGTTGGGTAGATACCTGTATGTCAAGACCAGAAAAGGTAGCGCTTTGCATGCCTTGAGCCCAGGGAGAGGAGAGATATCCTCCCACAGCGTCTCTAAGGTCTTCTGCATCTGAAGACAGGCATGGTGACGCCTGTGCCCCTTGCCACTTCCTGACACTGGTGGTGGTTGACTAAACAGTTTGTGCTCAATATTCCTCCTAATAAAAACCTAGCTCTGTGTGAGTAGCTCTGTTCTGAGCCTGGGAACATGAACAGGAAGGAAATGAAATTTTTTAAATTTTTTTTTATTTATTCTGTATACAATATTCTATCTGCATGTATGCTTACAGGCCAGAAGAAGGCACCAGACCTCATTATAGATGGTTGTGAGACACCATGTGGTCACTGGAAATTGAACTCAGGACCTTTGGAAGGGCAGGCAATGCTCTTAACCACTGAGCCATCATTCCAGCCCCAGGAAATGAAATTTCAACTGAGACATTTCAACAGTCCAACCTGTGGTTCACAGAAGTCTTGATCTTGCAATAGTCCTACCTAACCACGCAGCTCCAGCTTTTCCAAAGCATCTCATATGACCAGTGAGGCCAAATAATACTCATGGTGAAGTAAATTTTATGCATGGATGGTTGCTGGTAATCAATCCATTCAAGACCTTTGTCCTCCTTTACTTCTATCATTGGCAACAACATCATCAGGATATAATGTCCGTAAGTCACACATAGAGTCATTGTGAAACAGAATAGACCAACATTAACCAAAACACTAACCAAACATGAGAGCTGGGATCCCTAGAAAATTGCTGAGTTGTTAAACTTGAAACTTTCTGAACTTGGAATTCCTACCCCTCCCTCCTTCCCTTATTCCCTTACTCTCTACTTCTGCATTCCCTCTCTTGGTTCTTTCAGCAGTAAGGAGTAAGTTTAGGGTCTCCCACATGCCAGGCAGGCACACTACTGTTGAGTTATAGCTCTAAACCCTTTAAACTTTTTATCTTTTTAACATATTTTTCATTTTGTTAGATGTGTATGTTTTGGCTGCATGTATGAAAGTTAAAAAATGCAGTATAAGCCAACTCCTAATGACTTATTGTTATACCTGTAGATTACCATGTATCTCAAGCCTCAACATAGAAATTCATAGACTCTACAGAACGGAACTAAATTTCATATTTTATATATGTATATATATACATATATATAATAGCATTCTTTTTAATGTCTCCTACTCCTCTTTTGCTTCTTTCTTTTTCTCCTTCATTTCAAGACATCGTGTCATATAGCTAGGCAGCCTTTAATTCACTATATAGTCAGAGATGACCTTGAATTCCAGATCTGCCTGATTTTACCTCCCAAGTCATGGAATGGCAGGAATGTGCCACCAAGCAGTGTTGGGTTTGTTTCTCTGCTTGCTATTTTGTTTATAGACACTGAATAAAATTAGTGATACCCAAATATTCATAGATGTAGAGACATCCACTGGAGCATAGTCAACCTACCATGAATCACATCCTTAAAGTAAACTTATTCTCCCTCTCATGGAAGCCATCAATTGCCAATCAAACCTAAGCTGGAAGTGGGACCTAGAGAGTCTTTACCCCATCCATACTGGACTTTCAACTGGCTTGATCTTATGCAAGTCACCAAAGTTCATGACCTAATAGCCCTGTCTGTTCAGCATTTCACAGCACTCCTCCCATCTTCTGACTTCTTTTGTTGGCAGTTTGTGTATTACAGTTACAAAGAAAGAATCAATAGCTTTATTATTTATCTTGAAAGGTAATCTTATAAGAAATTTTAAAGGAATCACAAACCTAAACTTTTATATATGGAAAACATTTAGATTCACTTTAAATCTTTAGGGTGCATACTCACTCATCAATAGTTCCTTATATCAGGAGGTTCAGGGCAAAATAGGTACAAGGAATTAATCATCACCTTTGATCACGAACCAATTCTAGCAAGGAAAGTACATCATCTAGTAAAACTTGGGCTGCTTTGTGTTTGTGACCCTAACCTAATGGATCTATAATTTAGCTATATGCCCTTGTAAGTTTTAGATTATTTTCTATGATTTTTCATCTCAAACCTATTTGACCAAAATATCTAGTCTAACCTTAAGTTATTTTCAAAGCTTTATTTCAGCTATGATGCACTCCAAAGCCTGTGAACACACCTCCCAACATTAAGACTAGAAGAATTTAAACTAGCTGGACTACGGGGACTCAATTATTTTTTTCTAATTATTGACCTGAGCAACAGTCTGTATGGCTCCTCAATAGAAACTCATGTGTCGTAGGTGTGTGTCACTTCCTTGTTTGACTTTTCATCATGAAAATTCAATTTAAATTAACATTATTATTATTATCAATTAGAGAGTACAATTTAAGAAGAAATAATCTTCATAATAATACACTGGTAAAAATATCCAATAGAACAGGATGTTTCCATGAGATAAGCACACTACATTACAGGCAGTGATAATCTCCCCACACCCATTTACACCATGTCAGACACCAAAGAAAGATAGCAGTGGCAAACATGTAAGGGCACAGCAGAAAGAGAAGACAGTCTGTGGTCTCCGGGACCTTGCCTATCTGAGAATCACCCATCAGGGATTTTCCTCCTCTTTGACTGACACATGGACTTCAATTGCCACCTGCTCCTCTGACATGGTCACTGGCAAAATTGATTTAAAAATATTTTTTCTTGAGGTCTCCTCTGATACTCTCTTTATAAATTGAACAGTTGTATGCCTTCCTCCATCAAAGCTTACATGTTGAATCCTAATATCGTGGAGGCCTGAAAGATGTTCTGTGGTTAGGCATGCTTGTTGCTCTTGCAGGAGACCCATGTTGGGCAGCCCACAGCTTCCTGTACTCTTGCCCTGAAGGATTCAACATCCTCTGTTGATATCCTCAGCCATCTGTGCACACATTGTATAAACTCTCTCACACTAACACACACATATTCTGTGAACATGTGGTATAAACTCACACACATATATACAAAAATACTTTTAAAAATAATTTTTAAATTCCATTGAAGATTCTAGAACACAGATATTAAAGGAAGGAGACTCTATGTTGGATACCCCCCTCCCCGCAAGTAACAACAGTTAGGACTTCTGACCTTCCAAACTGTAAGTCAATAAATTGACCTAATCCTAAACCACTGCATTCACAATAATTCACTCAAGACTCAGTGGGGAATGAAACCACCAGCTGGAGAAAGGTATGAATGACTCTATTCACATGTTACCAACAAGAACTGGACACAAGAGAGAAGTCGTAAGCATTTTGTTTCTTCTCTTCTTTTTGTGATAGCACACCTCAGCAAGTGGAACTTAATAGAGACAGGATTTATTTTAGCTCACAGTTCAAGGTACATTATGGTAAGTTAATCACAGTGGTAGGAGTTTGAGACATCTGGTTACATTGCACCCACAATCAGAGAGCAGAGTGTGATGGATGCTTGCTGCTACTCAACTTGCTCTTTCTTTGTTTATTCCCAGATCATATCCAGGAAATGTAGATACCCACAGTGGGTGATTCTTCCCTCACAATGAGCAAAATTACGGTAATTCATCACAGATATGTCCAGAGATCCCTCTTCTAGATGATGCTAGATTCTCTCTAGTAGACAACACTAAACATCACAACTTTCATGCGGCCACTCAACATCATGGAGGGAGCTGCATATATGTCTCTGTTATGCAGTCATTTTTACTGCATGATGCATTTATACATATGAGAATGCATAAACAGTCCTTTGTTCTGTCTGTTCACTGTTATAGCATGAGTTATTGCTTGGAGACTGACTGTTCTGTCTTGTCAAGTTAAACTTGTAAGAGCACTGGAGGAGTTTCACTGGCAGCCAGCCTGAATTGTAGGTGTTCTGAGACTGCTCGTGCGTGATTCAGAATGTAGCGAGAGCACCAGCAAAATGGAATTTCCCTTTAGAGTCCTGATGTTTGGACTCTGAGGGCAGCATCGGCCTAGGGAAGAGCTAATGTTCCCTTTTCTGTTCACAGAGGAAGAACTTGCAGCTGAGAAGCGGTGGGGTCCCAGAACTAGCAGCACCGTGAATCTGAAGGAGGTGATAATGAATCAATCACGTGCTCATAAGCGTCTCTATATTGAATGTGACTGAGGTGTCAGAAATCTGACTGAGGGGCCTGTCTTCTCCTAATCTGAAGAGCGCACAGACCTATACGCTCCCTGCACCAAGTGGACACACGACTTCTCTGGTTACACACACTAAGCTCAAACCATAGATTTAGGGGAAGTCCCTGAGAATGATCAGCATGTCTTCTGGTTTTAGCTTCAGGGCCATTCCCAGAGAAACTCCAGTCACACCAGCTCTTCTTTTTTACCAACTGCAGTGGGATCTCTGTGTTAAGACAGGAGAACAGCTGTGGCTTGGGCAGCCTGTGGGGGCCAATAAGACCAGGATTTCTCACCAGTGCTTGAACTAGCTTTTTAAAGCCTATAGAGACATTCTTTGCTCAGACATGGTAAAGTGGGGAGAGGTTTGGCCTTGCCTCAACTTGATAAGCTAGACTTTGTAGACTCCCCATGGGAGGCCTTACCCTAAAGGAGAAGTGGAAGAGGGGCTGGGGGGAAGAGAGGTGGAAGTGAGTCAGAGGAGGGGGGAGGGAGAACTGTGTTTGGTATGTAAAATAAAAAAGAAACTTTAAAATAAAAAAAAAAATAAAAGACAGGAGAACAGATTCCGAGTATTAGGGGAAGGATTTTCCTATGCCAGCTGTGCTGAACCAGAAACAGGGCATGAAGAGCAATAGGGTGCAGTGCTCCCCTCCCCCCGCCTCATCCACCATCCACTCTTGGCTACACCTCGTAGATATGGATCCAGCCTTCCAGCCTGTAGCACATAAACCTGGTAATGGGAGAGCGCCCACCTGAGTTTTGTCATCCTTCTTCTCCCACAGCCCCTACTAAGTGGAGGAGTAGGTGGTCTACATGCCCAGGGCCAGTTCCCACAACAGGAAGGCTCCAACTAGCACTATCTTTACTAGGCCTAGCTCTAGACACTATATTTCTGAGGCTTGAAATAACAGGTAAAGGTATAGGAAATGATGCTCTTTTCCTCTGCAGA